AGGGGACAATAGTCAACAGGTCTCCTTCAAAATTGAAAGTATTATAAGATTAAAGTTATAAAATTAAGGAACGAATTTATATATTTAACCATTATAAATTAAGAATTAAACTTCATATGAAAATATAAGTCTAAACACATAAATTTATCTATGTACTTATCATAGAAAACTTCGTGGTACCCGAAATATTGTAGAAAATTCTATTATATTCTAAAGTTACGAATTTTAGTAATATTACACACATCTCCATATTAGCAACAATGACTTTTAGGGTTTTACATTTTTATACATAAAATGTTGACTTAATATACGGTTAGTATGACTTTTGAACAATAATTTCACATTTATCAACTATCTAGTTGGTGTTTAATTTAGTTTTTTAAGTTTGAGCATTCAATATAATGATTTTATAAGTTAAAATAGTGCAAATTTATAAGTTAAAATGTTTAATGAATTAAAATAAAAGTTGAGAATGTTTATGAGAAATATATTTTAAAAAGTCAACTTTTTAATTTATTCGTTAAAAATTATAAAATTACAAAGGCTATTACATAAATTCACACGTGAATTTTATAACTTTAATCTTGTGATACTCTGAACTTTGTAGATGACCTATTGTGCACTCGAACTTAAAAATTATGATAACAATACAGACTTTTCTATAATAACAACAATAAGGGTTTTTAGCTTTTGTGTGTAAAATATTGATTTGATATATGGTTAACTTTTAGACAATAATTTCCATAATTTTCAACTATTTAATAGGTATTTGATTGATCTAATTGTACAATTTGAAGTACTCAATAGAATAATTTTGTAAATTTAAGTGTTTAATATGTGTATTTTTCTAAGTTGAAGTATTTGACAAGCTAAAATAAAAATAAAAAGTGGCATAAAATTAAAATACAAAATTTAAGAATTAAATGCCAAATTATAAATATCGAATATTTTAACTTATAGATTATTTTATTAGACACTTAAAATTTATCAAATTAAATTAATTGAGCACATATTAACTTATTAAAATATACGTAAATAACTGTAAATAATTATCTGAAATATATAAAAAATATTATATTTATTAAACACTTATCTGATAAATAAAATAGCATCCAATAGATATTATTTTACAAGTTAAATTTAAATGACATAAATTAAAATTTAAAATATGAACTATGCAACTAATAAAAAAAAAAATTGAGATGATGATGGATTGATTAGTTTGTGGTATGAATAGAAGTGGTGGTCTCCACACACCATAGTCATAGTGCACACTTTAATAAAAATGATGGTTTAATAATAATTGTTTCGGTCAGAGGATGACTATGGAATCTCATCCAAGGCCAAGGGTATAAAAGTACCAAATTACCCTCGCAGAATATTAAATGGGAATGAAATCATAAAGAGTAGAATGGTAAATAAAAGGCTAGACTTCATTATCATGGAGAAGGTAAGTGGGGAACAAACTTTTTTAATCTCCGAAATTGATGAAGTTTGACTAAGAAATCACAAATGTGCCACCAAACCATTTGAGTTAATGCTTTTTTTTTTTCCAATAAATAAAGATGTCAGTTTGAAAACTTACACAATCACAATATATAGTACTAATTGTTATTTGGCATTAATTGGGAAGAATACTTTGGGTTTACTCCGTCTGAATCCTTATATTGATTACCGCTCCGTTTTATAATTTTTGTCATGATTTTTTTAAATGAAAGAAAAACTTTATTAAACCAAAGAAAAAGTGTTGGTACAGAATTACGGACCGAACTGAATTGAAAATCGAATTTATTTATTTTGATTTAATATTGTCAGTCGTTAAAGAAAGATTGGCTTATTTAGTTTGGACTAAATTATTATTATTCAGTATGATTCAATTTTTTAAAAATTTATCGATTGAACTCAAAATCAAATCGATATGACAAAATTCGAATTAGCTGAACCAACTGATTCAATTCGAATCAATTCGACCAGATGACAAATTCAATATGATTTAGTTTATTATCCAAAAATTTCGATTTGCATCTTCTCATATTGGTCAAATCTAGTCGACCCCCTAGCAGATAAAAACTGGACGATAGGAGGGCACCTCCTCTATCCAAACGGACTCATCTAAAATTAAAACAAATTAAAGCTTAGATAGCTGATGAGTAACTTTATTATTAACGCGAAAACAATTAAAATAAATAAAAGAACTAATTAAGGAATCGAGCTCTAAAAGGCCTTGTTCTGTATTTAGTATTGGAAAATTCTCCGAATTGATGTGCGGAGTCAGAATCAACGAGTCTTGCTACTTGCTACTGCTTCTTCCAAATTAGCAGGAGGGAGGAAAACAACCCGTTTATAAGATCTATAAGCCAAAATTGCACCAAAACAATCTCCATTTAAAAAATAAAAATAAAAAAGTTTCATTTGAGAAAATACTAACATGTAAGACTGCAAGCAACCTAAAGTTTCATTTAAAAAAACAAAAAAAAAAAAAAGAATTCATAGATCTCTATCCAATAAACTAATTAAACCTACCGTCTGTATTCGTTCGTTCCATAATATTTATTACATTTGAGAAAATAGTTTGTTTTAAAATATTATTTAAAAAAAAAAGTTTATTTTAAAATATTTATCACATTTGTAGTTCGAAGAAGTAATAAATATTTTTTTCATGTTTATTCTTTATATATGATCGATAATTATTACTTTAATTTAATATTTTTTATAAAAAATTAGTATTAAATTAAAGATAATACATGGTTTATTTCTTTATATATGATCGTATAATTATTACTTAATTTAATATTTTTTATAAAAATTTAAAAAATTAGTATTAAATTAAAGATAATATAATCAATTTACTTAATAATTTATTATAATTTAAATAAATTTAATAGTTTTCTTAATAACGTGAAATTTTAAATGTTTCAAATATTAAGAAACAGAAATAATAAATGTTATTTTTCTCATTTTACACATGTATTCCGAATCAAATTTGTCTGAATCGATTTGGATTGCAATTGCTTTAAAGAGTAATAAACTTTATACGGCTGAAAAGGTAGATCAAAACTGTATCTGTTCGTAGGCTAGACTGTGAAGAAAATAAGAAATTGTACCTTTCTCAAAGACTAAAATCTGACCCATAAACGGATATAGTGAGAGCACCATACAATGATACATCAGACATTGAGTCTGTCTGACCCAACACAAGTTGTTTACTTCAGTTGTTTTGTCGATCGTAAAGCACCTAATTTAAACAGTTTCTTGTCTAACCTTGACCTCTATTTCTACGAATCAACCAAATAGACGTTATGATTGCTAAAATGAATATATCAAACCCTTTTTCTCCGCCCCCTCTTGGCCTTGGTGAAAGGGTAATCATGCTTGCTTATCTATCAAGTATGAAAAATAAATAAGACCATTTGACATCTCAATTCATAACTCGTACTTGCATTCTTTTTCAAGACAGAAAAAGAAAAAAATTCTTTTTGAAAAAAGAAAAGAAAACGAAAGACCTGCCTGGTTGTCTATTTCTCTATATAAGGAGTTATGATGATTACCTACCAATGCAGAAAGTCAAATCAAACTCTACTGCTTTGAAGTATCCATACCGTAAAGTCGGTTGACAATGACCTGGGAATATCATTTTCGTCTCACAAACTTATTAACACAAGTAAAAATTAAAATACACTACTCCTTTTTATAAACAAAAGTCATTTCAATAATTTTTTTTATAAATAAAATATTAAGAAATAAAATTAATAAATTTTTTAATTTTAAATTTTTAATTTTACTTTATATATATTACATATATTAATTATTAATAATATAAAATAAATGATAATTTTAGTTAAATTAATAAATTTTTTACTCTTATATAGATGAAATTGTTTTTTAAATCAACATATGGAAACCTAGGATAATTTTCACTTGTGAATAGAAAAAGTACTACATTCGTTTCAATAATTTTAGCATTCAACTTTTTCATAATAATTAAGAAAATATTTTAACTATCTAATTCTATATAAAATAAAGGTAATTAACTAAATTACCTTTTAATTAATTATTTGTAATTAAGAGAGAAAATTTGCTTGAGATACTTAAATAAGAGAAAATCAAAATCAAAATTAATAATTATATTTTTTTTCTAAAATTGTTGTTTTTTATTTTGGAAGAGTCTAAAAGTGTTGTTTAAGTGAAAAAAAATCAAAGCAAGGTAGTAGTGGTAAAAGGAAGATGTCAGAACTTTCTATTTCTTTTCTTTTCGCAATTAAAGTGATTTTAGTTTCGTAAATAATGGGAAATTAAAATTTTCTAACTTTCAAGCATTGATTGAAATTGACAGACCAGTAGTCAATAATACCACACCCTGGTTTTTAACACCTTAATTAATTATCTCCACATGGCATGGAACCTCTTAATTCATTATCTCCACATGGAAACCTTCACAGACGCTGACATGGACAGGGTCTCTTAATTGCTGAGGTATAAATAGAATAAATAACACTGTATAAGAAAGTCATGTCCCAGCTCAGATCAATGAGAAAATTATTAATCAAAAATCAAATTAAGATAATATTTATATAGAATTGTAGTTAGAAAGAGGAATACAAGAAGTTATTGAAAATATTTTTCAGATCAATAGGAAAAAAATTAAGAAAAATGTTTTACTTTATAAAATATTATTATTTTAAATTTTGATATATCATTTATTAAAATAAAATAAATGCTAAATAATATATTTAAATAATAAAGCATTTCTAGCAAGCTTCTGTTTGGAAACATGAGCGGTGGGGGTTGAGTACAGTGAATCTAATAAAGAGGTGGTTACATGGACATAGATCCAGCTGGGACCATATAAGTGATTGAACAAAACGACTGAACCGTTCAATCCAATATGGCTATACTTACAGAAAAACGTTACAGAACAGTAGAATCCAACGGCTGATTGATTTTTATGCACATAACAAATTTTAGCATCAACCATAATCTCATTGTCTGGAGTTTAAATGTGAGAAGAAAAAAAAAAAAGAACTAGTAATCATAACAAGGTTTTGCTATCACAATTAAAAGACTGCTCTTTTACAATTTTTTGCTGCAATTTTACATGCAAAGCCTAAAGTGGAAATAAATATGTGGTGAACCTATTAGCATATGCATATTCACTATGACCAGTTTGCGAAAAAATATGTGAGATTTTTTTTTTTTTATTATTATTATTACTTTTAGCAATACTAGTATACATGCAACGTCGCAACATATTTTGGGATATCACCATGAAAAAGGGCTTGCTCCCAGCAAAAAAATCTCATTTTCGACGTCTTTCACCCATTGACAAACCCTGTTGCAAGTCTTTATAGCCAGAGCCTGCAAGTTCAATTCAAAATAAAAAACTCAACATTCAATCTTACTATATGCGGAAATAATGCAACAGATTGATGGTCATGTTGCTAAGTGTGACCAAATGCACTTGTAATATAGGCATTTTGCAATTTGACTTGCAACATTGATGACCATTAAAGATTTGAATTACAACATGTTGGCTCATTTGATAGATGTGAGAGCACATGTTTTGCAAGGTAGAAAACTATGGCAAGCATATAAAAATATTGTACATATGAGTAAATGCCAAACCTTGTCTGCGAGAGGATCAAATGCTGCATAAAGTTCAAAATCCGGAGTGACCCAACAGAGTAGAACTGTTACAAAGTAGAAGAAAAAAGAAATGTGAATCACCACTAGAGATTTTCAATTAAGCATCTAAAGGAGTGAGCATTTTTTCACGTGCAAGTGGAACTAGCATCAAGTAGCAAAATTGAGAGAGAATTTTTCCAACAATGCAGAAAAGGCCTATTGAACAAAATACCAAATTGCTCGAAAAAGTTTTTCATATATGTTTTGTCATCATGAGAAAAGACCTCAAAGATAAAACATTTTATGAATCATGAATGTGATAAAATATAATTACACATTTCAGTATATTTTGCTTATTTTGGCTTGAATATGGGCTAAAATAAAACCAAACTAAATAGAATGTAACCAAAGAGAATGCAATTTACCATAGTTTTCATCTCTTCTAAACTGGGTTTTGTGAGGCCCATTTCCTTTATCATGCATTGAAGCATAAAGTTTCTGGTAAGCCCTGTACAATCTGCAAAACAAGATATTAGTTCTTCAATTAATACCTACTGCAAAGGGGAATTCAATGATTAAGGACAAAATTTGGCAGTTACCTTTTCTGTTGTTGTGGGCTATTAATTGGCGATGAAAACTCAGAAGATACATATTGATCCAGATAAATACTGCGATATATAAAGTGCCAAAGTCCAGCGGGACCACCAATGCCTACATATGATTCTCTGAATCTCTCAGGAGAATCAGTTGGTAGTCTATGCTGCCCCAAATGAGGAGAAGCAGTTCCAGAACGAGGCAATGGATCACCAGGAAGATCCTCAACATGCATCCCACCATCTAGCATGGATCTCTGCACTTCGCTGAGAACACTGGACTTTAGAAGAACCATTTCGATACGGATCCTGTAAAAGTTTCATCAACAATTTCTGAACATGATGTAGAATGAAAAAGATCATAAAACATTGCTTACTCCACAATAAATTAAGATGTAATTTCAATAGACATGTTCAGAGAAACAATATTGCATTCCGTTTCTATCATGTCATTATGGCATGTGAGATGTTAAGTAACCATGATAAACCTTGCCCCTCTTCCTGTTCCCAGAAACATTGCAACTCTATTTTCAATGTTAACAGAAGATAAGAAATAACAAGAACAAATGAAGAAAAGTGAAATTTAATTCCTTGAACCTAGTTTCAGAGCTAAAAAAAGATCAGAAATGATGTAATGAATGGTGTTATCACAATAACAATATCGTAGCGTTCCTCATCTATATATTATTCACATATGATGGAGGGGAACAACACTTACAGCAAAACCTTGTACAAAAATAAATTCAATGTATTAGGCCTTAATCCAGTAAAAACTGAAATGCATTTGATTTTATCTTCCCAATAGTAATATAAATAGATATTTAAAATAAAAATTTATAAGAAAGAAGTTGGGCTTCAAACACATTATGGAAGTGTATATTTTAGTTTGACACTTTAGAAACTTATTCAATAACATGAACTCACAGCATATATGGGGATTTTATTATTTCTAATTAAAGGGTGCTTTTGAAATTTAACTAAAGCAGAAAACATTTTATTTAAAAAAATTTCACTTGAATTCTGCTCTTCATATCATAATTTTTGGAATCATAAGGATTGTAATTTCTCTCTTCATCTTTTCTCATTCATTCCAAATGAAATAATTTTTAAATCTCTGTCCAACATTATAAGCCACAGTAAACCATCCAATAAACGTAAGCAAAAGTTTACCTGCAATCCTTAAGATGATAAAAGGCATCCGAACTAGTAGTAAGCAGCATCAAGTAGGTATCAACCTGCACAATAGATTGTAAGTGTCATGTCATTTCCAATGGCACTGTAACAAGAATAAAGAACATGATTGACAGCAGTTGACATAAATGGAAACAAGTATAATTTAGGGAAAATAATGCCTCCTAAAATCATGACAGGAACACAGAAAGTACAAAGTCTGTTTGAATATGCATCATAATAAATGTAGTGAAACTAAATTTGACTCACATCAAGGTAATGGACATAAGCATACAAAAATGCCATGGGATTGTATCTTGGGAGGCAAATTGGTGAGAAAGACTCAGATGTCCTGCAAAAAGCCCAGGTAACGTGTAAGGCTACACTCCAAAAAAAGAGTTCACAAATCACCACCATACATCAGTTTTGAAGTCAGCAACTAGTCTGAAAAGGAAGAAGCATACAAAACAAGGAAAGAAGGAAAAAAGTGAAGCCAACAACCACCAATCAAAAGGATAATGAAGTCATTTTTCCTATAGTCACTCAATTGTTTTTAACTTCCATGCATAAATGAAGAATTGACCAAATAATTAGGTAACAGCATGCATTACAAAAATAGAAAGAGCATGGAAAGGTTGACTGTCGACATGTAATTGCCCCCAAAAAATAGAACAGGATAAGAGAGTTTATAACACTTCTATATTATAAGCCTATCTACTTAAAGAAGTTTTTATAGGAAGAGTTATCAATAAAGAAACAATGACTTCATTAATATATGGCAACATTACTATCACATAGTGTTGAATATTTCCTCATTATCTTACACATTGAACACAATAATTAACAAGAGAAGGTTATCTCTACTTGCCTAAATGATTCTGATGACATAATAAAGTTAGAAAGCAGCAGCATGTCATCAGGATGAAGAGAAGCTTTCTGAGCACCAACTAGACTAACAACCTGAAATCAAGCTTCAAGTTATAAAGAGCTTTAACCAGTAACTGGAACTTTACAAGAGGGTATTCCTGCGTGTAAAAAGGATGGACAAAAGAATAAAGTGTGGGAAAGGCATGTATTTACTTTGTGTTTGCACATTAATATTGCAAAAAGGACACCTGAATCAGCAACATCTTGCAATATAGCACATGCAGCTTGTCTTGTTGCATACGCTAGGGGAAGACAAGTATATGCATGAAGAAAGGTGGCTGGATTCCTGATCAAGAAAAGTAGGAATTTCCATCAGCACCATCTGATTTAGAAAGGGGTGCAGAAAAATATGGATATTCCACTATTAGCTTATTGAAAATAAAGTGCAAAGAGACAAAAAAAATATACTTGTAAACTGCTTCTTAGACATTTCAACTTGCTAATCTTAAAAGGCAAGATATTAGAAAACCACAAGAACACTGGTACATGCACACACTGAATGCGGGAAAAAGTAAAAAAAAAAAAATGATCTACTAAAGTTCAAAAATCAAGGAACATTTTAATACATAACAGACAGGCAGTTCAGCTGATGCCACAGCTCTTTAGTTATCTGACTTTGTAAATACAAATAAAAAAGGTACACATTAAAAAAAGTCTTCTGTGATCATTTAGCATCAGTTGCATATGATAGTATGCAGAAAGTGCAAAAGCAGGTTCTAAATTATTTCAATCATTGGTTTACAATGTTCATTTGTATTTACAGCAACAGGAGGTGGTCTTTTTTTCTTTTCTTACTTTGGTGTCATTCAGAAAATTTTATAGCAACAAATATGTAGTGCATATTACATTGAGGGTTTCTATGCTTTTTGCATCAACACCTTATGAAATCAATAAATCAAGAAAAAACTCCCAACCATCAGAATATCAGGGATAAATTTTAATTGCTCGAACTCCAGCAAAAGTGAAAATGTGAAATAGGGACAGAGAAACAAACCAACTAAATGAATGTATGAGAGAAGAGAAGACAACATCTGTTCCTCCAAGCAATGGTGTCATATCAAACTTGGAATTCCTCTCGAAACATCTATTTACAGACTTTGTTAAAATGAGTATCATCTGCGTCAAGATTATAATAAATAACAGGAGAAAATAATTAAACTGAGTGAATAACTTTTATTCACTAAAAGACGGTAAGAAAATAATTAGTGAAGTTAACAGCAAAACATTCAATGACTACCTGACCATAGATAAGTTCCAACTGCCCTCTTAACGATTCATATGGCTCATCTGTGCAGCTGATGCAAACTAAGTAAATTGGTCCTTTCACAAGAAAAACCACCTAAAGCAACAAAAGTTTCTCAAGAGTTTGGCAAGATTGAAAATGATATATCTATCACATTTATCCACTAAAACATCTATTTCTTCCACAGAAATATAACAGTAGTAGGTTTTCCAAGGCAGATGCTTTTCAGTTCTTCACCAACTAAAAGACTTGCATAACATAGTTCAATAAAGCAAAAAGCACAACTAATACAAGGGCTTTTGGAGTAGTATGTTCATGTGCAACTCCTCTATCAATTCCTAATAATGTTAGAGGGTCAAATAAATTTTTGAAGAATAATCCAGAAGTTGTATTACCAAGAGGACAAAAACAGAATTTTCAATTTAAGGTTCCAGGAATGAGATTAACACAACAATAAACAAAAAAGAAAAATGAAGGTGGCGAGAATATATGAGTAAACCTGATGCTTTCCTGCCCTAACCAGTTTGACACGATCCCCCCTGAAGAATAAATGGTGAAGAAAACTATTGTGAGTCTCCATAAGATTGACTGCAAAGTAAAAATAATCCAAGTAATGGGTGTTGAAAGACAAGATTTCTTAAATTCATGTACCCATTCTCCACAAAGGAAATGATGGCCTGCAATGTTGCTGAAAACCCAGCTAGCCTGTGCTCATCGCCATATCTGAAATTTAATGAGAGATATTTAAGAGGACAAGGAAACACAAAGCAAATTATTAAATTTTCACTCTATATAGTCCATTATAAGCTAATTTACCCACACTTTGTTGCAGGATTGCTACTGAATTTTTTTTTTTTTTATTTAATCAATGTCTATTTTATTAATAGAATTTTTTTTGTCAAAAGCCTGTTTTATTAACATAAAATTCATGTTATAAATAGATAAAATAATATTATAAATTGCTAATGAAAGAAAAAAGATAATCTTAAAACTTTAAATATATTGTGTTTTGTATATTAAGTTTTTTTATTTTTATTGGTTCATGTTGCACTCTCAAAATTTTTATATTTATCCATTTCCATGAAAATAAAAACATGTCAAAGGATCTTTTATTTCACCATTTTTTTATTATAAAAATTATTAAATCCATGCAATTTTTATACTTTTAAGCTTCTGGAGTATTAACTATTAAGCAAAATTTTTTTAAATAATCTAGATATTATCTATCACAATTTTCTCATAATTTTACTTTTACCATTAAAGAACTTTTCAGAGTGATATGCAAAGAATTTTAGTGATGAACAATAAAATATAATAGTTGTAAAATGATTTTTTTTTTTTTTTCACTTGTTATATATTATTGTTATATGGTTACAAACATAGTAGTTCTTCCTATATAAACGAAAAAGGAAAATTTTCTTATTAACATCAATAACATTGATTTCAAATGGACAAAAATAAATGTTGAGATAGCTTATTTATTAAAAATGATTATATAAAAAAATTGTATACCTATGGAACAACTTTTTTTTTTTTTCAAAAAAAAGCTTTTGATTTGAATCAATAATCCAGTTGGTCAATCTATCATCAACAGTTCAAAATTCATACTTATTCTCAAATTCATACTCATTTGTTTATATACATTTAAGACATTTAAATTAAATTAAAAAGAATAATTTTAAAAAATAAAAATGAGATGAAGGGAAAAAAAATTTATTGGACATCCACTTGCTGTTGCTGAAAATGACCTTCTGACATTGAACCTCTATACATAAATCTTGAAATGACCTTCTGACATTGAATCTCTATACATAAATCTTGAATAAGGTATTGTTATAGTATTTTAGGAAGTGGAAAAATCAATAAGGACAACCAAAGAGAATATTTTGTGCACAAAATTATCAGAATACTATCCTTGGAACAGTAACTTTCTAATGCATTTTACTATATAATAAAAAAATTTAAAAAATTAAAAAGAAAAAAAAAAAACATGGCACTTATGTTGTTAGGCCATTGGAAACATATGAAACAATTTAAAAACTAAAAAAAATTAATTCAGAAACTTGCTATCGTTATAAATTGTGACTTTGATAATAATCTGGTTCATTGGAAGGCCCAATAGGCAAAAATAATTTTAGTATATATATAATAATAATATAATATAATATAAAGCAGCCAATCATGATGAGATTTTAGTTAAGAGCTAAATTTCTAAAATAAAACAATAAAAAAGTCCATGCATATAGATGCATTATTTATGAGAGGGAAAAAATATTGAAGAGAGTTAAATGGCCCAAGCAGATAAGCAAGAATTGAGAAGATCATAAGTCATAACACATGTCCCATGCCGAGATTCAATAAAAATGGATTTTGTCAAATGTTTATTCTATTATGGTTTTCAAATGAATTGTCCTGTAGTTTTCCAACTTCACCTATTCTTTTTGACACAATTAAAACTATTTCTCATGGAGCAGAATTGTCAATTTCTCCAAAATCACTGTTCCCGTGAACAGTGATTTTTGCATCAGTTTTAGTGTATATATGATAATATAAAGCATTAAGGTGGATAAATACTATTTACATGCTACTATGGCATCTGACTCAAACCTGGAATATATTGGTTTCCCGGAGTGACTCAAAATAAAGAAATGCTTCTTCCTTTTTCTCCATGATATGGAAGCATCATCCTGCACTTCATTTATTAATCAAACAAGACATAATATTGCAGGAATCCAGTGAAGTAATATACTTTTTAGCACATATGGTGACTGGTACATTGAATAAACAATGGAATATGTGGCTGGAGTTTTAAAAATACACCAAATAATTGAATGAATAATATAATGATAAAAAAAACTAGTAATTATGACAGAATGCATGGTGTGCACGGGCAATGGTATGCTCATTTATCTGCTCTTCCCCACCCCCCCCCCATATGTGGCTGGAGTTTAAAAATACGACCAAATAATTTGAATGAATAATATAATGAAAAAAAGAAAACTAGTAATTTATGACAGAAGAATGCATGGTGTGGCAACGTGCAATGGTATGCTCATTTATCTGCTCTTCCCCACCCCCCCCCGCTTGCTCGTCAATTTTAACATGGAATCATGCACCATGGATATGTTCATGGGCAAGATGGCAAATGCAGAAAGGGCACATGTGCCCCCCCCCCCCCCCCCTTCTCATGGCAATTTTAACATGGAATCATGCACCATGGATGATGTTCATGGGCAAATGGCATGCAGAAAGGGCACAGTGCTCGACTTTAGGTGTGCCAGTGTCTTCCAATAAAACGAAATGTTTCACCTCTTAAAGACAAAAACAGCTCCAAGAAATTATTAACGAAAAAAAGACGGCATATAATTAGAGCTTTGCGTGCTTTTTCCCCCTTCTTGTAAATGAATATTTTGCAATCCAGGCATGTATCTTGGCAGCAGTAACGGAATATCTAGATTATTTTACCTCTTCGTCACTTTTCAGCATCTAACATTTCTCTTAAAGTTTGCATAATGTTCAAGGTACTCTTGTTTTAAAAGTTTCCTAGAAGAAACGGAGAAAAAAGAGCTGTCCATCAGGTCAGCAAGTCTATGTCAGCAGTAGCTGTTCTATCTGGCAAGTGGTGAATTGAGCGATGGAAAACACATATTGCAACTATTGCTGATTATGTGGCAACAATTGTCTCTCAGTTCTTTTTTTCTCACTTTCTTGAAAGGAGCTCTCTCCCTATTAAAAAAGATTGGTACCCTAAAATTCCAATCTACATGGTGCCGAACATATAAATGTTATTAAAGAAGACTAGTGATGAACAATTCGAAAAGTCTATATCGAAACACTAACTTTGCCAAATATCTTCCAAAACTGGAACCTGTAGACTTTATCTTTATTGCTAATCCCAATGTACTAGAAATATATATTAACTAGGAAGACTAGTAAAGAACAAAATTCCTGGCTGTCATTTCCTGCAGATTCATAATCATTTGAGACCCACCAAGAGCATTCATTATAATAATTTTCTTCAGCTACACAGACTACCAACCAAACAGGTCATCAAATTAATATAGAAGGTTCAGATGTTGAGTGTCTTTTAAAGTGTAACGCCAGTAAGAAGTAGAACAATTTCCGGACAAACAGTTTGGTGAACTAAATAGATGAATTTCCCTTCTGCTAAAACATACTATATGAAAGCTAGGTTATATAAGCTCTCGCTTTCCTAATGCCTACTGATGAACTGGTATTTCATCTCAAACTAGTAGTTTAGAGATATTTCACTGTATAACTAAAATTCTAGAATTCACAACAATTAGATTGCTAGAAATTAGTCAATACACTATAAGCTGAAGGTTAATGTATGAATCTAAGCAATGCAAACTAACAAGGATCCGTTAAATTTATAAAAGAATTACGAAATTGAGAAAAAAAAAATGGAATCTGAATAGTCTCAAAACCACAGTACCTCATCGACATGCCGTTTCCCAGGCACCCACGCTGCCTGTGAGTCCAGAACCCCATCGACTCGACCATCATTCCCAACTTCCTGTATCTCATCTTCACTCACTTCACCAATCCTCGACGCACTGGTCGCACTACTACTCCCTCTCTCGCCGGCGTATCCACTACTGCTAGGGCTCGAAGGTCCATCCACCTCCACCTCGGAGTTCGTCCTCCACACAATACCACCACTGCCACTGTCAACGCCACCGCATTTTCCGACCTCTATTCTCTCTTCTTCGTGATTAACGTGGTCATCCAGTGATCCATTAAGCGATGGCACTTGTTGTGGCACCGCCAATGCTTCGTCGTTTTGAATTATACCATTGGATTCTTCAAGCGGCTGCACCGATACCTCGTCGTTTTGGATTATGCTATTGGATTCTTCAAGAGTTACCGATTCGAATTGGTTTTCAAGAGGCTTAGGGTTAGGGATGGGATTAGGATCGTCGCCAGATGAGGAACTGAAATCGGAAGCAGAGGACATTGATGTAATTTCAAATATACAAGAAGGCTAAGCTTAGAAGTTCTGGCGAGAGAAATGGTAAAGAGAAAAGATGTGGTGAAATTTTTGGATTATTGTTAGTTTCGTTGGTGGTCTACCAGTCGTTGGTGGTTGTTTCGAGGCCCTGCAATGAGAGAAACTCAGAGAGAGAAAGGAAGGAGAGCGTCTGACCGGTAGGTTGGTTAGGAAGTTTCGGTTAACTTGGGTCCGAGTTCACTCGTTGTTGGACTCGTCGCGGGTATAGTTGGAACTTGGAAGGAGAAAAGGTTTAAGTTGATAATGGGTCAAGCTTAAGATTTGCCCAATTTGGAACAACAAGGCTCGAAAATTGTAATATAAATGATATTTTCTGAAGTTTTTGTATTTGTACTATTTTTTGTTGCATGTTATTTATATTTTTGTATTTACTTGTGATTTAATTTTTTCATATATTATTTTTTGTTTATGAATAATATTATATATTATTTAAAAGTCAAAAAACCAAAATTAATTTCGACTACATAATTAAGATGACAAAATTGTATGATCATAGTATATTATGAAAATAAAAATATAAAAATTTCTACTCGAAATTAGGGTTTTCATTAAATCGTATAAACCGATTTAATTTTATTTTTAAAATTTTGATTTTAAAAAATTGATGGTTTTGTTTGATTTTGTAAAATTTGAAATTCAAACTTTTGGTTCAGTCTACAATTTTAAAATCAAAACCGCCTAAATTGAACCAAAGCCTTATATATTTATGTGTATTTTTAATTTTTAATTTAATTATTTTTTTATTTATTTCAAATATAAAATTCATTTATATTAAATGAAGCGTTAATCTAACCGAAAAGGATGAGTTTTGAAATTATTTAGAAAATAATTATAAATATATAAATTCAATATGAGGAGAATGTACTCTAAGATTGTCAAGGAATAATTTAATTAATTCGAAATTAGCCCTCATTATCAATATAAAAAACAAAAGTACAATTTAGGCTCCTTTTATTTTTGAAAATTAAAATATTTTTCAAATGACTTATTTTTCATTGTTCAACTATAATATTAAAAATTAGTTAAAAATATTAAAATCTTTAATTCATAAGACTATAATAATATAAATTTTATATTTTGAAAATTTTATTGTTAAATATGAAAAAAATGTAAAAAAAAAAAGTAAATTTTGAAAGTCGCTAGTTACCGAAGGTGGTGGCCGATGGCTGGTGATTAATAAATTAAAAATAATATATATTTACAATATCATAATATGGGTGTCAATATCCAAACAAATATTTTCCTTTCTTCAAAATGGAAATTCATTTTCCTTGAAAATGACTTTATTTTACTTTGACAAAAAAATATCTTCTGTTGATTTATTTTTTAAAAACCCCAAAAACAATCAAAAATTATAAAAAATATTCTTCTATAAATTATTTTACCAACATAAAAGTAGCCACTAATTATTTTCTTTATTGAGGGTGTATTATCCTTCTTGTTTCTTTCTATTTGTTTTTTTTTTTTTTTCAAGGTACTTTTACACTGTAATTAATGAGATTACAAAGGAAATGAAGAAAATATTTTGAATTTATATTTGTATCAGTTTTTTCCTTGTCGGACTTGTACCGTAACATTTCAGCGTATGACACAAAAAAGTCCAAGTATACAATGCCAAAATGGAAATTGACAGAGCAGAACAGAGCCATATCTTGGACACAACTCATAAGGCAGTATTAAATGTGCTATGCCAACTCAATACTTTTCAATGTGTCATTTAATATATGACTTCATTTTTTTTCATCTAATATTTTAAAGATAATTTTCTATCTAAATTAAAACTGTTTAATATTATTTTTTAATTTATTAAACTTTTTCTATTTTTTTATATTTTAATTGGATCAGCTAAAGTGTTTTTTTAATATAAAGTTAATTATAATACGATAATTTAATAGCAGTGCTTTCAAATTCGGATCAGACTAACTTGTTTAACTTATTGCATTACAAATTAGTTATTTTTTCAGTTCGAGTTGAGCTTAAATTCAAAAATGGTCAAATCCGTGCATTAACTAATTAAATTGGTTGAATCGGTTCAAATTTTATTTGAGTTGTTTTTAAGTTCATCAATTGTTTTTCATTTTAATTTTTTTTTTTGGTAAATATTAAATAAAATTATTCACAAATATTAACGGAAACTATCCTTACAACTTCTAGGTATATATTAAATAAATTGTATTTGACTATAAATAACTTTTACTGCAAAATTAATTGGGTGGATATTGCCTATATAATTACACGCATTTTTTCTAAAATAGACATAGAACTCATGAAAATTAGGACAATCGTTCGTAAATTTCAAAATGTTGTATTGAAAATCAAATTTATGGCCAAATATATAAATTTAATTATGTACTTTATCGAAAAATTTTGTAGCATTTCAAACTTTGAAACAGACCTATTATGCACATGAAACTACAAATTTTGATAGCATTATCTCTAGAGATGGAATCGGGGTGAGTGGCTTTGAATTTTAAGCTACTCATACCCATATCTATTTAAGATTTTCTATTCGTATTCGTTTTAAATCCGTTTAAATATCCATTAAAATACCCGTATCTGAATCTGTATAAATTTTTACTATCCATTTAAATTTTTACTACTTGTATCCATCTAAAATCCATTTAAATTACCCTTATAGGGGTAAGTTATCAGCAAATCTTAAACTATCTAAATCAAAACTTATTTTAAAATATAATTTTTATTAATAGTAGATATGATACCTTTATAAAATAGCGAGTAACAGGTAGCAGGTACTCAAAGACCTATACCCGTATCCATAACGGGTAGTAATTTTCATTATCCATATCCGTTTGAAACCCATTTATAATCATTTATATTCTCTTTAAATGTATCAGAGCGAAAGAGTACCCTAAAATACTTGTACTGCTTCCATCCCTAATTATATCCTTCACTATATTAGTAATAACTGTTTTTTGTGTTGGTTTCAACCCTTAAAATCAATGTCAAATATAGGATTAAAATAATATGCTACATTCTAAAATAAACCATTATTTTTAAAACATTTCAAATTTATTAGATTTAAAAGTATAAATTTCTTGATCCATATCATTCAAATCTAAAACTAAATATATTTAAAAAGTTAAAAATTAACAAAACATAATTTCACTAATACAAGTCACAATAATCTGCCGCAAAATAATACATCAAATCTATTAAAAAAAAAAAGTTCAACACCTAACGCATCGCACGGATATACAACTTTTTTTTTTTTTTTTTTTTTTCTTAATAAATCAAATGTCAAATATAGATTAAATAATATGCTACATTTCTAAAAATAAACGCAATTATTTTTAAAAACATTTCAAATTTAATTAGATTTAAAAGTATAAATTTCTTGAAATCCATTCATTCAATCTATAAACTATAATTATATTAAAAAGTTAAATTAACAAAAACAAATAATTTCACTAAGTACAAGTCACAATAAATCTGCCCAGCAATAATAATGACATCAGATCTATTTAAAAAAAAAAAAGTTCAACACCTAACGCATAGCGCACGGATATACAACTTTTTTTTTTTTTTTTTTTTTTTTTTACCATTTGAGTATTAGACAAAAAATTTACTATATCGATGGAACTAGAATCATGATTATTATTCTTTTATTTGTCAATATAATGCTTTCATTAATTTTTTTTCAAATTATTTTTCAAAATACATGTAGGTCAGTATTGATTAGAGCTTATAAAACGTTAAAAAAAAAAAAAAACACTACGAGTTAGATTAATCAGTCGAATGATTTCATTTTAGATTTTTAATTTTAATTTTTTAATTTTCGATTGACTTTTGGTTTTATCCATTAAAATCTCTCTTCAATTAGATTTAAAGAATAATTTTATATATAAGTTATTTTAACTTTTTTAAATTTAAATATGTTGTTTAATTAAAAAACATGAGTTGATTTTTCTTCTAGTCTTAAAATGGTGGATGTAAAGCTAATCAATTGATGGTTTGATTAGTTTTTTCCACTTATATTAGACCTAAAAAGTCTAAAATTCAAAATTTTTTAATTATAATTGTTTTTGACGAGTCAAAAGAGAGCTAACCTTCTATGGATAAAGATGTGGACAAAATTTATTGCCGATAGTTATGATAATCGAGCATGAGCAACAGGGCTAATGGATCTGTGTCGTGTTGACGTGAATTGCAAATAGAAGGAATTAAATGTTATATTATTAGTTTATATTATATAAATTTTAATTGCACTGCTAACTAAATTTATGCTTATTTAGTTTTGATAAATGAATTAGTTTTTTATTCTAAAAAAAAAAGAATTAGTTAAAAAAAAATTTTTTTTTTGATAAATGAATGAAATCAAAGCTGCTTTTGAATAAATTAAAAAAAAAAAAAATCTCATAGTCATCGAGTAAAAAATCAAACCAGTTAACCAATTCAATTTTACCGATTATTCATTAACTGGATAATTGTTTATTGGGCTAAACTTAGAACTTTGAAAGCCCAAAACATGGCCCACGAGAAGTGAGAATACGAGGAGGATATGATGGAAAAGAAAAAAAATTGTAGCTTAGCAAAAGACAAGCAATTAGATGAAGAAAGAGAGCAGTCGCAACGGATCACTGAGCCTAAGTTAAGACACGTAAAAAGTCAAGGGCCCACGTGTAGGGGACAAGCAATTAGATGAAGAAAGAGAGCAGTCGCAACGGATCACTGAGCCTAAGTTAAGACACGTAAAAAGTCAAGGGCCCACGTGTAGGGTCATATCAAGGCGACTTAAACAGCCAACTAGTTAGTTAGGCGGTTTCCTTAGAATTGAACTAAATCCCACATCGCTCGGTTACTTCAACAAACAAAGCTTCATAACGCAGGGCGATACGCACTAAGATCGTCCCTTCGGGGACATCCGATAAAATTGGAACGATACAGAGAAGATTAGCATGGCCCCTGCGCAAGGATGACACGCACAAATCGAGAAATGGTCCAAATTTTTTTTTATTCTGTTTGCTTTCTTAATTTTGGATGAAATTTATCATTTTCGTCCTTTCTGTCTTTCTGAAATTTTGGTGAAATTTATCAGTTTCGTCCTTATAATTTTCTTGTATTCTTGTTATGGTCAATGCTTATTTTATGAAGAAACCCTTGGTCTGTTTTCCCTGTAATTTGTTCATCTGTGTACTTCATAGTTCAGTTCTTGCAAATGCCAAAAACCTATGTTCAGTGTCTATAATTAGAGAAAGATGAAGGATTTTGGTTTTCCTCCTGCAATTGAGGTGCTCATAGATCTTT